TAGAATGTGAGAGAAATGATTGTCTTAATTGAAGGGTATCTGAAAAAAGCACATGTGAAAGTCGTTTCCTTGAGTTCTACACGTATTCTACGCAAATTCAAGGTTCGGTAATTTCATTACACGGGTGATTATCGAATTGCATAATATGATGTCGCGTGCAACTTGTACAGAAGAAACAATAGAGATATCTCGGTGAATGCGATCAGTGTCGCGATAAATTAAAACGCAATTACCTCTCGAGACACTCGTTATCAGCGTGGGAAAGGATAATAACGTTCCCCTTGTTTCACTTTTTACTGATAGATAATGTTTCTGTTTGTTCGTTTTGCAGCCTAAGCGAATGTTACTTCGCTGGCAAGGGTGCGGCCCTGGTTCTGCCTCCAAACGAAAGGGCCATACCCTCGAGGAAGGTCTCCACAGCAGGATGCGACATCCAACAGCATTTACAATCTATGTTCTACTTGCTCAGACCCGAAGAAACGCTCAAAATGGTGAGTGACGATTTACGAAAAAATATCGGCCGTTCGGAGCGCTGAATTTTCAGCCACCAGCCAGAGCTGGGTAAAATAGTATTTTAAATGACGAATAGTAAATGGATATTTTATTTAAGCTGATGCATGTATTTTTGAAAATAAAATATTTTATCTGCACGAAAGAATGTACTTTTAAAAATAAAATATTTTATTCGTTGTCAAAAATGTTCAATAGTATTTCAACGAATAAAATAATCTTATTTTACTAAATCATAGTGCAAAATTTATTTTTGTAATCTAATACGAACGAAGTATTTTTCCTCTGCATTATAAACGTACATAATAGTTTCTTATATGCGAATAGTTGTATCTAAAAAGAAAATAAATTTCATTTCCTTTCATGTTTTATGTTATTAAAATAAGAACTATTTTATGTTTTAGATTATTAAAATAAAATATGTATTTTCATGATTTAGTTTTAGATATCAAAATAAACTATTTTATTTTACGTTTTAAATTATCAAAATTAAATATTTATTTCATGCTTCAGCTGTCGATTATCGAAACAAAATATCTTATTTACTGAAATTTTATGTCCTACTTGAAGTACTATTTTATTTGAATTGTGAAGAATCTATTACTTAAAATAGTATTTTAAGTCTCTCTCTATATATTACCCAGCTCTGTCACCAGCAGCAGGTGTCTAACTCGTTATATCATTATCGTTATGATATAGAGATAACTTGTTTAATCTCCGTCGTATAAAACGCCTTTCGTAAGCAATACATATTTTTAGTGCTATTCTGTACTTGAGAATTACGGGGTAATTGTAATTTCCTTAGTGAAATGTAATTTGTTTTATGGTTATTTAAATACTTCTTATTGGAGATGGAGGTTCATAATAATTATTTCTTAAACAACTACCAAACATAAATAATTATTTCTTAACGAACTACAAAATAATTCTATAAAAAGTTTCTTATCATAAATTTTTATGTCAATTTAATCATTCCACATAACTTTTTGTTCATATTTTTGGAGGGCGAATTATAACAGCGATCAACCACTACGATTAAAAGTAGTGCTAAAAGTATTGTTTCGTGCATAAATCATTTTTTTCAAAGGTCTTCAAGGGGGCCATATATTTTTCAAATGCATAACATACAAGATGCGTATTTAATAAAGATAACATAATACGAGATTGCATTAAAATAATCAATTTCTGTGTAAAAGTCTAGGTGAAGTCGACACTGATTTCTTATAATGCGTTTCATGAAATATTCATATTTGTAAGTTTCATTTCGAGCAAATCGTATGGAAAATTTATGATGTCGCTGAAACCGAAGTATTCAGGTGGTTAACTTTTAAGTGGACCAACCTGCATATTTTCCCCCATTTTCTGCAACCTAGAGAATGATTTATAGAGAACTAACGGTTGCGATTAAATTCTCATTACTTCTTCATGGTATTACCTTTCCAACCGATTTCTATTCAATGATAAATTGTTGATTATCAAGCTGTAAAAAGTTCGAGCATTTGCAAAATATTAAAATACAGTTATATCTGCAAGTTCAAAATATTGTGAAACCACTATATACTTGTGCCGGTGATTCTTAAAGTGGTGTAAGATATGCATACATATTTTGTTTTTTTTCGGTTTTCATATTAATGTTTAATAAATTGCACGATCATCCAGCTTTACATTTATATACCATTCTATAATTTTTTTAATAACAACCATGAAATCATATCTTTCACATACTTCAATGATTTACCCCACTTTTAAAATGAACAGTAAATCCTAGTTAATTGACTTATTTATTTAGTTATGTTTCATATATTGCAATTTTCTTTATTACATGTATACTCATTGACACATGATTCATTACTTTTATTATTTTTCATTACAGAACAAATTATACATTTTACGAATATCTAACTGAAGATTGAAATATTTTCGACATGAAACGTGTGTTTTTGCAATCTCAATTCTATGACTTACACCATTATCGCAATGATCGTGAAGTTGCCACGGGTAAAAATGAAAGTGACACATTCATGACATTGCTTATTTCACTGCTATTTGACACAAATTCTTTCATAATATTGAAATATAAATAGTTGTAACACGAAACAGAAAAATAAATACAAACTGATAAACATTGCAATTTTTTCATAACTTATACCACTTTTGAAATCACCGGCATTTATTGCTGCTCACATTCCTGGGATTAATATGGAGGAATCGATTCAACTTGATTAGAGACACTGTTTCCAGAAAAAGCTTCAGAAATATGCATTTGTTCACCGATACAAATGATTTCTATGTATAGTCGCATGACATAATCTTTCTAGAATTAAGGGAATATTCTAGTGTAAATTGCGTGCTTGTTTAACTTTCTTTAGGTATTTTTTTCTGAAAAAACTATAAAACATTTTGCAGTCATATTTGTGATATTTATTTATGCTGTTTCAACAACATTTGCAAATTTGTTGATCTTTTGATGATCTGAAATGAAAAATCGCGTAAGTTTCTTGATTAGTATGAGTTCAGCTATAATAGCGGGTACTAAACAAAAGAAAAGAGTCGACGATTAAACAAGTGGCGACGTTTTGAAATTTGATTATCGAATTTTCCTATTGATTTCTCAATATTGGGAGCCTTAAAAAGTGTAAGCGGGGAGAATTTTGGGTTGATTCTAGTACTGGCTGTAGGCATCAGTATACTGAATCTAAATTTTGAAGGTTCATGGTTTAATAGATTTTAAAATATCATGGTCACCGTTTTGGAAAACATACACGAAAAATTCATATTATGAATGTTACACTCACTGTATCTTTGTTAATTTCGAGAACAAGGTGTAAACTTTTGTAGGTGTATGTTGAGCCTTAAGTCCATAGAAACGCTACAAGCTACAGTAAATTCTCTCTAATTGTTGCTCAGATTGTACACAAAAGATGGACAATTTGGGAAGAGGAGATACGATTATTCGAGCCTTGAGACCCGTTTTCATAGTTGTTGACAATTGGTATAAAAATGAGCTTCGAGGATCGAACAATCGTATCTCCTCTTCCCAAATTGTCTTTTGTCGTATGCAATCTGAGCGTCAATTAGAAACTTTATGCGTTCATATCGGCAATGATTAACGTCCTTCAGAAACGTTATCGAGGAATCGATGTACTAGACAGGTTAAAACACGAATCCAGATAACATAAATATATGATACGATAAGAGTTGGGAACTGGCTAAATGAAACACATTTAAATCGAATTCGGTTAAAATGAGAAGCTTATATCAATTATTTCCGCATCATTGAGATACTTCAGCGTCAATTATTCACTCTTCGACTATTCTCGTTTTCAAGTAATTTCATTTCGACGTTCCGTTGGCTGCGAACGGATTAACCAAAAGTTCCAGCGTCGGAAAATTTAAACGACGAATCGCGACGCATGCATCGTAAAAGGCTACTTTTAGATATTTTTAACTGTATACGAACGTTGCCGGGATACATCACCAGAAAACCGGTTATGCCCGAAAAATCTCACGACTGTTATGTAAAAACAAGTACCGAACGATGAACACCTATCTCTCGATTTACGTGGCACTTTTTTACACGGTAAATTATAACACTACAGTTAAATTCACCCTAATCGATTGTGCACAAAAATGGACAATTTGAGGAGAGGAGAACGATTATTCGAGCCTTGCGGCTCATTTATTATAGTTGTTTTATAGTTTTTTACAATCGGTAACTATAAAAACGAGCCACAAGACTCGAATAATCGTTTTCTCCTCTCCTCAAATTGTCCATTTTTGTGCACAATCAGTTAGGGTGAATTTACTGAAAAATTTACTAAAAATGCAGTAAATTCTCCCTAATTGACGCTCAGATTGTGCACAAAGATTTTGGAAGAGGAGATATGATTATTCGAGCCTTGCGGCTCATTTATTATAGTTGTTTTATAGTTTTTTACAATCGGTAACTATAAAAACGAGCCGCAAGGCTCGAATAATCATATCTCCTCTTCCAAAATGATCTAATCTATGTGCACAATCTGAGCGTCAATTAAGCAGAATTTACTGCATTTTTTTTATATGTAATATCAATTTACGCAACCAATAAGTCTTTGTAGAGCTCTTGAATTGGCACAAAAAATTGGAAAGTTGTGTAATGTTGCATCGAATATCAGCAAATTTATGAAAACCTAGTAAAAGAAAATATTCGGAAAAACTGAAGTCGAACCTCCAAATATTTCGAGCTACGAAGACGATGAGTTTGTGCCAATTAAAAAGAAAAGATTGATTGTTTTAAATTACAGTAGCGACAGTGACACCGAATGAGTTTTGCATTTCTTTTCTGAAATGTCATAATCCCTTTTTTTTTGTCGAGCTATGTGAAGTATGTATGCATTTCTAAAATTTATATCAACAGCTTTTACTTCCAATATTTTTTTCTTCTGTATTAGGTTGTTGAGTGTGAAATGCATATTTTACTCCTATAATTTTACTATAAAATCTATGCGTTCCATGCTTAATGACCTAACACGTTGGCATGGCGGATGTATCTTTATTTGAATTCTTAGTTAGCACTATTGGTTCTCTTTATAGTCCCATTCAAATTTCTCAGATGGAACCCGAATGCGTATACGACACCGTTAAAATTCTGTTTCGCAAGTGTGCTAGAAAATTCTGTGCAGCTGTGCAAGTAAAAACCAGAATCACTTCCGAGAAATCCGTGCACTTATTTTGTGTAATAAAATCTATAATGACGTCAAGGCCTTTGTGGTAATCTGGGACAGTGCTGGGTTGGAATTAGCGTTTTCTGATAACTTTCATATCTTTTTACAATTACTGAAGTGTTCAGCATGATAATATACCTAGTTTGGAATTTATCGAGATATTTGAAGTTCTACGGAATTACCTAATTTTATTTTTAAGGACAGCGTGTACATTTTGCGCTAAAAATGCAATTCTCCCTTAGCGACAAGCAATATGTTTCTTTGTCTGGTAGTTCTGG